GAAGATGAAACCAGGGAGAGCCAGGGAGAGCCAGAGCTGACAAGCTTTCGTAGTGCAGGTGCCAACGAGCCGAATCACGCTAGTGCTCCCGAATTCGCCGTCACTTTCCCGTTATCAAAGACGGCGTTATCTCGCTCTTTGCAACTCGAATCGTAGACATCCAGAAACATGAAGACACCTCTTAGAATAGCTATCCTCGAATGCGACACGCCGCCAGCCGCGGTTGTCGAGAAGTACGGCAGATATGACCGTATCTTCACAACGCTATTGGAAACCGCAGCCACGGAACTGGGCTTATCGCCGAAGCAAGATCTCGAATTGAGCGCATTTGATGTGGTCACAGCGCAGGAATATCCCGACTTGGAAAATGTAGATGCAGTACTAATCTCGGGCTCGAGTATGTATTACCCGAAAAAGCAACGTTGAAGAGCGTGGCTGATGTGGCGCAGAACACAACTCCTTCGATAACGACACATGGATTCTGAAGCTGGTCGAGTTCACGGAGAGACTGTTGAAGCAAGATCGGATTCGTATCATCGGTGTTTGCTTTGGTCACCAAATTCTTGGAAGAGCTGCAGGTGTCAAAGTTGGACGCAGCGACGACGGATGGGAAATCTCAGTGCTGCCAGTACAACTCACCGCAAAAGGCAAAGAGATCTTCCAACAAGATACCTTGGTATGTCTTCCAGACCCAGGCGATTACAACTTGTCATGCTAAAAGTCACAGGCAATCCACCAAATGCATAAAGACATTGTCTTCGAGTATCCGGAAGGCGTGGAGAAACTGGGTGGATCACCACGATGCTTGGTGCAGGGCATGTACAAAAGGGGCAAGCTCATCTCTGTGCAAGGACATCCCGAGTTCACCGAGCCTATCGTAAGCTACTTGGTCAAGATGAGGGCGGAGCAGGGTATTTTCGAAGACGAGCAGGCAAAGGATGCACTGGCGAGGGTCGGGAATCACCATGACGGAGTAGTCATTGCCAAAGCGTTCTTAAGATTCTTATTTGAGGATTAGGAATGTTCGGATGTCAAGCTTGAAAGACGCTCAATAGTCGAATATAGCTATGTGCCTGCATGCCGATAGCTAGCCGCGATACGTGAAGATGGTATTTTAGACAAAGGGTTTTTGAAGGTGGGCTGCCCCACACGCACAGGCTGACGGGTGATGGGCACCACTGGCGGCCATAGCTGAGCAGTAACTTGGCCATTACCTATATTAGGCAAAAGTTTTATTTATATTTCAAATCAGCAAGACCGGCTTCGTGGCGCAATGGTAGCGCGTCAGATTCCAGTTTCTCTGGAGCATCCTGAAGGTTAGGCGTTCAAATCGCCTCGAGGTCACATTCGATCATGTTTTTTTGTTATTCTGTTGACCATACCATATTTTTGCCAATGCCAATTGGGACTTAGCGCCGTTCTTGCATGATTGAGCAGAGCCACGGCCTTCAGTCTACCTATGTGATGCTAGCTTGCATTCTCCATTCACTCTGGCTGACCCCTAATCAAGATCTAACACTCAAATGTCACATGGACATAGCACATAGGATGCCGATACGTCATAGTCACTCTGAAGCGCTGGGCATGTTCATGCACGACACTGTTGATCCTTCTTAATGCCGCCCCTGCACTTATGTGGCGCGATACGGACTATTTAGGTATCAGAACCTTGGGTGACAACCGTACCGGAGCCGGTCGAGTATGCACCTGCGAGTACCACTCAGCGCTCCTACAACTTGTCAGGACCACCGTTGTGGAAAACAACAAGTGAAACGTGGTTCTTGCGCGAGAGTGAAAACGACGATCGCGTCGAAAGGCAGAGGCTCACGTCATAAACGACCGGTAACTGGCCGCTCGCACATTTGTTCCGCCCCATAAAACGTCGCAGCGGGCGCGGGACGCTGATCCATGCGCCTTCTGGAAGCGGCGCCGCCAGCTGCCAGGGTCCAAGTCTCAACCTTTACTTATCCGCCATCACTAACTACTCCCCTCCTTCACGTCGCTCGTTTTACGCAAAGCACCTGTTCGATTCCGGCCGCGCCGCTACCGCCCTCTTCCGACATATCTCTTGTAATACTCACTGTTGCTTTCCGCATGCGCATTGCTAGATAGCTGTCCTCGGATCCCGACTCTCTCGATGGGAAAGTGTACGCAACCACCCATATGCAGCCCTATGCCCTCCACACAGCTCGCACGCTGACACTATCTGGTGAACAGGGAGATATGGTGTTGTCCTGGATGCTGGGTCCTCTGTAAGTTTTCCAAGCAGTCGGTGTGCAGTCATCGCAGGGTCCCAGCTAACCATATCATAGGGGACGCGCGTCCATGTTTACCGATGGCTCAATAGCGACGCAGCTCGCAAGAAGGCCAGCGATGCACAACTACACAGCCTGCCTGTCATAGAAACCGACAAGAAGTGGACGAAGAAGATACATCCAGGTATGCGGGCGAGAGAGGACTCTGACCAACAGTCGTCTGACGGAAGGTGGGACAGGTATCTCAACTTTCGGCGAACACCCTCACGATGTCGGATCCGAACACCTCGACAAACTCCTCAGCCACGCGCTCAAACATGTGCCCCTTGAAGAGGTCCCGAACACACCTCTATTCCTGCTTGCAACAGCGGGCATGCGCATACTCCCTGAGCGACAACGGAAAGAAGTGTTGAAGGAAGTCTGTGAGTTTGCGCGCGCTACCACCCAGTTTCAACTGCCCGATTGCGATGTGCACGTGCAGGTCATTCCAGGAGAGACAGAGGGTCTGTATGGCTGGATAGCGGCGAATTACCTGCTCGGCGGGTTTGACCAGCCAAAGGAACACGATCATGGCAAGGGACACAACACGTATGGATTTCTGGACATGGGAGGCGCATCGGCTCAGATCGCCTTCGCCCCAAATGCAACCGAAGCAGAAAAGCACGCGAACGATTTGACGCTCATGCGACTACGAACGATTGATGGTACACCGCTAGAGTACAAGGTCTTCGTGACAACTTGGTTGGGATTTGGTGTCAATCAAGCGAGAGAGCGATATACCAAGGCTTTATTGGAGTCGAGCGCGGAGACTGAGCTACCTGATCCTTGCCTACCAGCAGATCTCGAGGTAGAGGTTACAAAAGATGGCAAGATCATTGACTTGGACGACGACGACGATGATGACGATAAGCCTAAACAGAAGACCGCGGCGAAATTGATTGGTACGGGCCAGTTCGCGGAATGCTTGCACCGGACGTTCCCGTTGTTGGAGAAAGAGAAAGAGTGTAAAGACTCACCGTGTTTGTTCAACGGTCAGCATGTTCCTGCCATCGACTTCAACGTGAACCACTTCGTAGGCGTATCCGAATACTGGCATACTACGCATGAGATCTTCGAACACGGACACAAGGACAAGGCCTACGATCTCAAAACATACCAGGAGCGAGTGGACGAGTTCTGTAGTCAAGACTGGAAGAGCATAGAAAAGGGTATCAAGAAGGAAAAGTGGGGTCATAAAGTCGACGAGGAGAAGGCACGGGATGTCTGCTTCAAAGCTTCCTGGGTCATCAATATGCTTCACGATGGAATCGGCGTCCCTCGAGTTGGTATCGAAGACATGAAAGGTGGCCAAAACACCACTAAAGCTGTCATCGACAACGCAAAGACAAAGGGGTTTCTGGACCCGTTCCAAGCAGTCAACAAGATCAACGACGTGGAAGTTAGCTGGACCCTTGGAAAGATGGTCCTTTATGCTTCGAGCGAGGTTCCACTACCCTCCGAAAAGGCGCTGGCAGTAGGCTTTGGCTCCAATGTCCCGGGAATACCATCAGACTTCCAATATCCCGGTGGCGTGCCTAGAGAGTACGAATCAGACAGCAACTGGCACCGTCTTTTCGTCGAGCACCCACAGCGTATACCCGGCTTTTTCATCATGATATTCATCTTCATTTTCATCTTCTGCCTCATACTTGGTAAAGAGAAGAGGAACACAGTCAAGCAGTACATCGGCAGACTCTTCAAGAGCAAGCAGGGCAAAGACCCTCTTCATCGCCGTCGCGGTCGCGGCTTTCCAGCTAAACTTTTTGGCTTAGGCGGCGCCTCGTCTCACACTCAGCAACCTTACGAACGTGTTGACTTGGAAGATGGGGATGCGGCAAACGAATTCGAACTTGAGGAGACCTATCTGGACTCATCAGATAACGAACTCTCGGATTCTTCTGAGGGGTCCAAAGTAGGCAGGACGAGTGGTTGGGCGACGCCGCAGATCAAGACTGAACCTGTTCCCGGCGGGCCAAGTTATTTCGGCACGACGACCGCGGGAGATGTTGTCAGGGAGGGCACCGGTTTGGGACTGGGTCCTCCGAGCGCATTCGAGTTGAGCCGGACGTATAGCAGGGAGAGAATAAAAAGCCGCGCCAGCAGTCCGAAGAGAGGAAAGGGGATGAGCAAACTTGATGAGTGAACGGCTTTATTGACGACGGCGTTGATCTTTCGGCTTGGAGTTTTATGGGCCACGAAGCACCTCTCTTTGTAGTATATTAGAGAGGGGATCTTGGTGCAATCTGGTGTCAAGGCGTTGTCTCGTCGAGCAGAGACATTCTGCCTATGCACAGGACACGGTTGTATATACCATGTGCTATATGAAGCTATTCGTTTTTCCGCTACAGTCTAGAAGGGTATGCACAATCAAATCTAAAGACATTCAAATCAGAAGCCTTTCGATTGATGCTATAACATGGATAATATGCCCAATGTGCTTGACGATTGTCGCGAAGCCGGTGGGACATGGGCTAGCGGAGTGGTCTCCAGGTCTCTTTTTGAGGCTGGGAACCTTGACAGATGCCAGTAAAGCAACTGTTACCAAACCTTAGCGTGAACGTGATGACGAGCGATGGATGAGAAAGTGAAACGTGCGTAGCGTCATATTGTTGTCTTCATTACTTCTGAGTCCATTTATGCTTTGACTTGACGATAATGCTACACTCACGCGCCCGATCTTCAGGTCCCTGCATACTGAAGTAGCTGCTAGCCTTCCTTCTCTGTGACCTTCTCCTGGTCTTCCTCGTCCTCGTCACTACCATCCACCGTGTCTTCATTACTACTGCTGCCGCCCTTTTTCCTCTCGGCAACATCCATCTCCCTACCATCGATGACAGGCTCACTCTTTGGCGCTCTTTCATCCTTGCTAGGTCGCTGTCTTGCACGCTTCCCAGCTTCATCGGGGAACAACTCAGCGAAAAGGCTGGGTTGGAAGCGATTGATGCGCTTCCAGGTCTCATGCCAGAGGTCCTCTCGTTCAGGGTTTTCGTCGGGTGGCGCAAGGTACCCGCCATTGCTGAGTACCAGAAGCATGTTCTTAAGATTCTCGGCGACAGCTTCTTCCATGTCGCCCTGTCCGCTGTTGCCCAGGCGGTCCATTATTCCCACAATCGTAATCCATAACTCTTCGAAAGACAGGCTCTTCTCTCCGTCCTCCTTTCCTTCACCAGACAAACCATCAAGCAGCACCAGGTAATGGAGGAATACCTTGCTCAGCAGCGTAGCGGCTCGGACCCGAGTTTCGCTCATACCTAGTGGATCAGACTGATAGACTTCTGGTTTAAGAAGCTGGGTGATGAGTGGGATCAAGACCTCGCTGAAGATCGCGGTCCATTCTCGATGTTCGGGGGAAGCGAGATCGTTGGAAAGAAGTGTGCGTTGGAGTGAAGAGAAGGCTTGTTGGCGCAACGATCGGCAAGGGTTGAGACATTGATGCGCGAGGGTCTTGAGGATGGGTGACCAGTAGGCCGTCCATGCTGGAAGTATGTTAGCATTTCGAAGCTGAGCGAGATGTGCATTCCTTTTACCTTCAGTCGTTTCGAGGTGAGACTGCTCGATGAAATTCGGCACTCTGCTGGAAAGCTGGAAGACGATGCTCATAGCGGTGCTGCCGCGTACAACTATCTCACTATTCTCAAGCTTCTTGGGCTTCTGTCCCTTGTTGCGTCGTGCAGCCTGGTCATGTAGCTGCTCTTCTCGAGCACCTACTTGGGCTGCAGTTGCGAACTCGTTGAGAAGCGCAATCGCAGCTTCGTAATTGTCAGCAGTGATGCCGGGTTGAGGCGAAGTGGTAAGATCTTCGACAAGCTGGAAAACGTCCCCAGCAGCATCAGGCACGCTTGCAAGCCTGTTGAGAATGGTCCAGAAGTCTGGTGAGCCTGCAAGTTCACTACGAAGGGCATTGGGGCCTTTGCAGCAGTCTGTCAGTCCCTTCAAGATTGGCTGAGCGCACTCATGCAGGAGAGCATCGTTGAAGCTTGAGAATGTGTGCATGAGAACTGGGGCACGGATGAAATCGTAGTCCTAATTCATCAGTATATAAATCACATGGGGAGGCATCGAGACTTACATTGCTAGCTTTCAAAAGGCTTAGCAGATAGTACACCGATCGCGCAATGACCACATAATGGTGTTTAGGAGCGTCTCGAATGACAGACGTCAAAGCATCTGTCACATCCTTGGCGAGCTCCCTGACCGTCTCTTCGTCTCTGAGAGCTAGAACGGTGGCTAGTTCGAGCACAAAGACAAGGCTTGGGTCGTAGAGCGGGCCTTTACCCTTCTGCTTCGGGCCAGTCGTCCGTGGACTTGCGCCAGGTATCTCAGGCTTCACAACGATAACCCTGGGCGAGCCATCTTCGGGGAGATGCTCAAGTAGTGAGGCCAGAAGCGATCGCAGAGACTCCACAGGTAGTTGGCTGATGTTTGCAAGAATATCTTCAAAATGACACTCCTTGACAGTATCCACGGTGCACAGTGTGTATTCGATCTCTTGGTCTGATGGCTCCGGAGGCTCGTCGTTGGCGAAGCTCGAGACGTAGGATGTCAGTGCCGAGAAGATGCCAGTATCCGCCGGACGCTCTGCGCGGTCAATCACTTGCGCAGGATTCTGGAGTGGTATCGGTGCTAGAGCAAGCGTCTTCTGAAAGGAGAGGAAGTATGGGGGTATCAGCGAGTTGACGAATAGATTCACCATGATGCGAATGAGCTAAGAGTGTTAGCGATATGCTGAAAAAGGGTTGACAGTCTTACATGTTGCCATCCATCTCTTATCGATGCCTCATTACCCTTAATGACCTGAAACAAAACCACCGTTGCCAGTTGCGCCCTGCCGTCACGGCCGAATCGCACAGCAGTCTCGCTAACCATGACGCTCTTTTTATCGGCTTGGACTTCCGTATTGAGTGAAGTGCTTGGTGGGACATCGGGAGCGAGTGTGCTGATGTATGACAAACACGAAATGATACGGTCGAGAGCATCAGTCAGTTCGTACTTGGCAGCAATCTGCGCGCACTGGTCGAAGCCCTGAACAACGCGTGAGAAGACAGCATCGTCAGTGGCGGACATGAAGACGTAAGACAGTGTCGCGATGATTGGCTTCCATGTTGCAGCAAACATGTCCGCGTCGAAAATGTTGGTATCGCAGATGACGATATCCGAGGTCGACTGACACTTGACCAATAACTCCTTCCACGCGTGGTCATATGCATTTCGGTCACTATGCTCTTCCGGTAATATGATCTCCCGGTTCTTGATGGATTCATAGATTCCCTGCAAGAACTCAGGGTCAAAGTCCTTGCCGTCGTTGACGCCGCGGACGTTCTTTCGGAAGTCTTCAAACTGCATTCGCTTTTGCTTCATGTTGGGATTATGCTGATCAGTGTTCAACATGATGACAGCGTAGGTGAGGATGTAAATAGCATCGTGGTTGGCAATGCCTTCTGGCTTCGCCATTTTGAAATATTTCTCGGAGAACTCGGACAGAATTCGCTCGATCAAGGCTGATTCACCAGGGAGACGGAACGCGTGTAGGAGCTGTCGAAGAGCCTCATCAATTCGCTGTCCTGTGAAATCGAACAAATCGATGAAAGCACTCAATACCGCCTCGTTCCCTTTCTTGGATATAAACTCTCCCAGTACCTTCTTGTCAACTCTTGTAGTACCCTTGACGAACTCAGCGATACATTGAGGATCGTCAGGGTCTCGAATGATGCCTTGAGATGCAAGATAGGCGATGCCAGCCTTGGGCTTCTCATTAAATTTGGTTGCACCACGGATGATGACAGCCTTAAGTGCTCGCTGCTTGCGCAGCGACTCGGCACTAGGATAGCCTTCTGTTACCGGCTCATCGTCCAGGCGATCTGCCATCGACTGCACAAAACCGAGAAGAGCGTCCAGACATAGCGGAGGTACATTAACGGTGCTCCATGTCGCGGAGTCTGGAAAAGCGTTTCTTGAGAGGAGTCCAACTATGTCCATACAGACGTCCCCACGGTCAATTTCACAGTCATAGTTGACGAAGAGTTCAGCCATGTAGGAAGGAATCCGGACCAAGCCACCTAGGTTTTCTATCATGGCTTCTCGGGCATCTGGCTTTCGTGCACCTCCTTCTAGTCCTAGCTTCTGACGATCTTTGACAGGTACTGGAGTTGAACGGCCACTAGAGCTGCTATTCTGCTGTGGTGGCTGCTTGATGAGGCTGGGCGCATGCGGGACACCTTCATATAACGAAGGCTCAATGCCAGGCTCGACTGGTATCTCCACCCGTGGAAAAAGACAAGCGACCAGGTATGAGAGGTAGAGCTCTTGCTGCAGCTTGAGGACGTTTCTGCATGTCGCCAGCAACGTACCTGCGACTCTCAAAGATTCGTTCAATATGGCCATGTTGTCTGACCTGACGAGCTGAAAAATGTGCCTGCACAACGTGTCCTTGGCCAGATTCGCCAGACTGGGATGACTCGCTATCGACGGTCCAGCGACTTCGAGAGCGACGTCCACGATGCGCAACGCCATGACACGCATCGTGTCAGTGTGTTGACGATCATGCGGATCCAATAGATCGACCAGAACTCTGAAAAGCTCTCTTATGGAAGGCAACGAATAAGGCTTGATCTCGAGGGGGGCTTGCGGCTGGCCATCCTCGGCCGTTGCTGGGAGATCTAGGGTACTGCTCGCTGGGTTTCCGGCACTGTCATTGTCCTCATGGCCTTTTTCTGGGTCAATTGGCTGCTGGAGAGCTTCAACCTTGTGCTGTGCAGAGTCTCCCTCGCCATTTGCTGTTGGATCCATTCTCAGGCCCTCTTGGTCGTCCTGTCCTTCCAGCTCCTCGTCCATGGCGTCAAGTTCATCTGGCGATTCGATCTCCAGCGTTTTCAGTCTCCGAAATATGACTTGACACATGGAGACCATGGCAATCTCCGCCGAGCGTCGCAGCAGCTCCGATAGTCTCGCTTGGCAGCACATGCTCAAGCCTGTCTCCATCATCTCGCACACACTTTCGTCGCCCAGTACTTCTCCGCCTCGACCTGATATCATGACCTCCATAAGCCTGAGTATGCGAAGGAGCACAATCTCGTCGGCGGCCGAATCGCTGGCCTCGAATCGGCAGTGGGTGATGGCAGAGGAGAGCTGTTGCATAGCTTCTGGTAGACGTGGAGAGTCATGGCCAATTATGCCGTACGACAGGAACTTGGTGATCGCAATGAGGGCAAGCGAGGTTATGGGCGCGGAGGTGGATGAAGACCGGATGACCTGCAGAAAGGGATGGAGCATAGAGGGGGTATCGAAGGTCCGGATATCTGGTGTCGCATTAGCTTGGCTTGTGTTCTGTCCGGATTGCCATCTTCACCTTTGCAGCCCTTCAGATCATTCCTCAGGCGCGCAAATGCAGACATGAGGGGGTTGTCCTGCATGCTCTTGCCCTTCTTCCCGCGTAGGCCCCATCTGCTCGGTACGGCTTCCTCTTGCTCTCCTGCGCTTATGATGCCTTGTCCTGTGCGGTCGCGTCGTTGGACGGCTGGCGTCTTGTTCGAGGAGCTGCCCAGTATAGCTGCGACTGAAGAGTGCGCCCAGCGGGCATGCTTTCGCATCGCCGACGTGACGGTAATGCATTCTGTGACCACCAGAGCTACTGGGTTGACTGCGACGGTAATGGGCCGTGGATCCAGGTCCACAATTGTCTCTCGAAGTGTGGACGCGACGTGGTCGTCGCCATCTGTGCTCGACATGGTGCTGAAGGATTCGGGGTATGGAAGTGTATGCGACAGGAATGTGGTGCGCGACAGGGTGTCTTCAAGGTGGAGGGCACATGGACAGCTATATGTCTAGTTCAGTCGACTTGAAAGATGACACGCATGCTTCCAATTGCTGCCGCCTAGTGATGAAGACAGAACACAAATTTGCGAGATGCAGAAGAAGTGATTACCTCGAATATCTGTCCTCAAGTACTGCACGGCGGATAGAGACGTCGTTTGTACCATTCGAACATTTGGCGGCTTAGCTCTAGCGGAGTTTCGGAGGTGCTGAGGCCAGGGGTCCAGCCAGCGTCACACGTCCATGACGAAACACGCGGCAGGCCATAGTCACGATCTTGGTAGGAATTCTGTAATGTTTCTCGATGTTGTTACACACAAACGCAATGCGCGTCTACTGTCGAGCCTACAACGCCCCTGATGCAAAGCTGCTATCTAATGTATACATTCCTCCAAATAGTCTTCAAACGCCCTCCAAGCAGGAAAAGACACGCTTCCAATGCCACCTTCGGAGACCGGCTCGGCGAAACGTTGCTGCCTCAAGTTTTTAGGCTCCAACACAAAGCACACAGTGGATCGAAAGAAGTAAAGGTCCAGATCTGCGCCCAGTCTGCCCAAGTCGTTACTGTCGTTGCTGTAGTGCTTCGTTCCAGTATAGGGTTGCAAACAGGCGCGGACCTAGGTCTCACACCCTTGAAATTACTGGAATACTGCGACAACTATGATTGATCGCCCTCCTTCTTATCAGCTGGCTTCTCCTCCTTGGTGTCTGCCTTGGGCAGCTCCTCTTTTGCTGCCGCTTCTTGTTGATTCTTCTTCTCGGCGGCCGCCTTTTCCTCGTTCTTTGCTTGCTGAACCATGTCTTGGACGGCTGCCTTCTCTTTCTCCCAGTCGCTCTTCTTTTCATCAAAATTGTCCTTGATCTTAGCCTCCTTGGCCTTCTTCGCTTCTTCCTCAGCCTCCTTGGCCTTGCGCTCCTTCTCCATTTCCTCCATGTGTCGGATGTCGTCGACACTGGGTTCGTAAAGATGCCAGATAGTGTAGTGGGGAAGACCGACCACGGAAAACTTCATGCGCTTGGCCATCTGCAATATGTTAGCGCTGCAGCAAGGTACGAACGTCGTGGCTTACCTTGCCGAATCCTTCTGTCTCAGCGTGCTTCTCAAAACTGAATGCAGGGAAGTGGACACCAGAGCGGAAAACCTTGGCTTTCGCAAGAATGCTAACACCACCAACACCATCAATTTCCATCTCCATGTCTGGGTCACCGTAGGGGTCGCGGAGGTAGGCCAAATGCGGGCGCCAAGTGGCGTACTCTGCGTAACCTTCTACAATGACTGCATCCTCGTCGAGAGTGTCAGCGAGGGCGAGGGCAGTCTCAGATTCTTGCCAGGAGTTCAGGTCGTATGGCTGTTCGCCGCCAAGCCAGTCCGGAAGTGGTCGCCAGACATCTGAGTGACAGGTCAGTAATTTATATTTTCGTCATGCATCATTGTACATACTGGGGACGATGACATCCTTGTTGTGCCGCATGAGATCTTCCAGAATAGTGAACGGAGCAGTCTCCACGTCCACATCTCTCCAGTATACCCAGCTGTGTGTTGGCCGCAGTGCAGCGCTTAGCAGCCAGTTTCGCGCTTGTGCCATTGACTTTCGGCGGCCAGCCTGTGCGGCGAAACCGTGTCGACTCTCAACATCTTGGTTAACCTTTTGTCCAAAATCCTTCTCCATGATCGAGATCTCGCCAAACTGCTGCTTGGGATCGGGATTGGCCTGTAGCTCTTCCAACTTCTCCGTCAAGAGTGAGATGGTGTTATCCTTGGAATCTCCAACGAGGAAAGCCAAATCGATGAGGTTGTGGGGGTATGTGAGGTTCTGCAAATGGCCAAAGAACATGGGCAGATGCGGAGCCGCGTCTCGCAAAGGAGCGCACAACAGAATGCGCTCCTCCCTTTCCCATCCCCTCGCTGTTCCCTGCACGTTGTTCAAATCGTAGTATCGCACGGTCTCAAGCTGCGCATCGTCGTTCGAGGAGATCAAGCTGAGAGGTCCGGAACCCAGGTTTGGTCGCAGGTCAGGGAAGAAGAAGAATAGGGCGGTAAAGAACAGCGAACCGACAAGCAGCAAGCGCTGTATCAGTGTTCTCCGCCGCCTGAGCGCAGGCTGTGATCGCGGCTGGAATCTAGAGGTGCACTAGAGGTTAGCAACACGATTGTTTGAGTCGTAGTCGTAACGGAGACGCGGGTTGAGGTGCTGCGCGATAGTTGCGCCATGGGTCGTAGGTGGTGAACGTACTTGTGAGGTTGGATGGAGAAGGTACCCCCTCCTTGCGAGGGATACGCCCCGTTGGAAAAGGCATGGCGGTGCATCTTCCCTTTCGACGATGAATGTAAAGGCAACATTCAGAGAGTTGGGCGCCAGATGTCAATTGCTCCCTTGGAGACCCCCGGTCACCGAAGACCCACCAGATCACCAAGTCGTTGAACAAAGTACTGCCTCCCAGTCCTTGCTGCGTCCAAGTAAGATGAATTGCCGCTCCCGAGAGTAGTTGCGACGTAGGATGATCCGATACAGGCCTTTAGATGGCGAATCGCGTGCGTTCGGGGGTGCTGCGCGTCTCTGGTAACCTCCGTTGTAGGGCTTGGCCAAGGATTTGTTCGCTAAGGCCACGGTGACGTCCAGACGGGGATGCTGATGGCTAAGTGGCGTCTGCAACGGATAAGGCCGAATCAATCGACTCGACGCGCGAGGCTGACGAGATGCACGATGGTTGTCGTTCGAGTGCTGACACTTTGCAAGGTTCACGAGGTGTGAGGCTAAGCCAAGCCACGTAGTATGGCCGTTTCAGACTGGTAGAGCAATGATGTGCAGGAGTAGCTATCTCCGCCCAGGCAGCGAATCGAATCAGTACCTCAACGGAAGTAAGTTTAGACATTCGTATTTCCCATATTGCATACGCGTTGTTTCACTAACAAAGGGACACCCAGTATAGACAGTACTTCAGCGGGTTGCAAACGACTGCACGTGCACAAGGTGTCATGACTGAAAAATTGGGTGAATATATTTAGAGATTCCTATCTACCATGATCTAAACAGAATGCGGACTACACGAATACATGTCCCTCGTAACAATCTGGGTGCTGTTAGCAATGTTCAAACAGCCATATCGTCATGTTTTAAACAGATGTTGCGCTCAGACAGCCGTGTTAAATCATCCCCCATCGCCTGGCCTCAGGTCGCAGCAGCCCAAGACGGATTGCTACGACTTTTGGCTCAAAGACCACAATCACGCGGCGTTGGACAAGCCAACAGTGCAACTCCACAACCCGTCATTCCAGCCGAGACTGGTAGGGTGCGGGAGGGTGACCCGGCGACAGATGTCGTTGAATGGATAGACTAGTTTTCCTCCTTGCGAACGGGTTGGGAGTCGGGGTGCTTACCATATGCAGGCATGCAGAGCGAGGGGCTGGGATGGGTATCTGGTTGCAATGTCAGCAGTGTTCTTCAACGATTGAAGTGAAGAGCTGAGAGTGCAGAGTTATATCAGACAAAGGTAAGCGGTATAAATTTTCTTCAAAGAGATTCAGTAGCAGAACTGAAATAATACGATCATCATATAAGGCATGTACAGTAAAAAAGATGAGGACTTACCATTGATCAATATGTGCTTCGAGACGCTGCAGGTTAGCGACAGATGTGGTGTTGGGAGGCATGCTGGCGGCTACATGGTACGCCCATGTGGCTCACACCTTGCGGCCGCCTCAACAATGAGATGCTTAGGCCGCTGAGGAGAGCTGTCCTCTCGCGCGATACGCTTCGATCCTGAGCTGTATCTAGACTGAGGTTAGCTACAGTCGCAAAGTCTTGTGCAAAAGCAGAAGCTTCAAGTGTGAGATCAGAGGGTGGTGCATGTGTTCATAGCTCATCTGAGATCGCAAGAACTTTTTCAAGGGTATCATCAATGAAAGGGAGAGGATTGGGTGGGAGTGTGTTAACGTACCTTGAGCGCGGGTGTGAGGTAAGGAAAGAAAGTTGAACCAGACGCGCAGGAAAATTGAACTTGAGGGTCCCGAAATCTTGGCGGGCCCGTGCTTAGTCATCCACTTTTCTGAACACCATGAAATCATCCGCAAGTACAGCGCGTTCAACACGACGCAAATACAAGCACGATGAACGCTGACAGAAGACGAAACAATGCGCCTAGTGGTGGAACTAGTGCGCCTGTGTTTGCGCGAACGATTAGAGAACCGCAGTATCTGGAGAAATTGAGACCGACAAGGTCAAGAGGCGCGAATGAGCTTCGCAGGATCTGTAAGTGCCCAAACAGCTTCATAGTCTCTGTTTACGCGTACTCAGGGTATTTTGAGCTTCTCCAAGAGATTTGCGCACTTCCTGTCGTTTGGTATACCATCCTTGTACGTTCCATTTCTAAGCATTACAACAGTTCTCCAAACATCCATTATACCTTCCGCATCGGGCTCTGCCTACCTTGAGATACCTTCGTCCTCCCCTACGACCAAATCGACACTCATCCCACCGACTTCGTCACTCAAGATCACTGCTTCTATCCAAGGCCCAAAGCCTCTCCCCCGCAGCGCGCCATTCAGTCCATCTCTCCTTCTCACGACCACGGTCAAGTTCGCCCCGTTCGCAACACGTCAAAGACGAGGCTATATTCGGGATTCGGCAGAGCGCGATTTGGGTGTTCACCTGGAGACTGCACTACGGGGTGTCATCATCGGAGAGAGATGGCCTAAGAGCGGAGTCGAAGTAGTGGTCACCATCCTGGAAGGTGACGAGGACGGCTGGTGGGGTGACTACGCCAGTGAAGGAAATGCAACTGGAAGCGGATGGGGTCTCTTGAATGTGTTGGCAGGGTGCATAACAGTCGCGAGCGCGGCCATAACAGACGCCGGCATAGATTGCGTGGATGTAGTGTGTGGAGGTGTCGCCGCAATAACACGGAACCCCAGCTCCACAAAACAGCAAGAGCTGGCTAGGATACTCGACCCCTGTCCAGCAGAGCACAGGGAAGTTGTCGCTGCATGTGTAGTCGGCTACCTGGCTTCAAGAGACGAGATCACAGAGATATGGATGAAGGGAGATGTGGGCTCCGATCCTGATGCTTTGATTGAGGGAGCCACTCACGCGGCTGTGGGCAGTCTCGCGGTGGTCAAAGAGGTCTTGCTAGAAGCGCTCCAAACCAAGTTTAAAGGCCAGATCGAGGAGGGTGAGAGCGGGCTGAAGAGAAAGACACGGGATGTGGACATGACAGGATGAGCGGCAGCGCGAGAGAGCCGGCTATAACGCTTTCAGCGTTGTAGGCTCAATCCTAAGAGTCAGATAACCGTCAAGCCACTTGCACCCAACGGCCGACAGGATATCATCTTCGGCTGATCCTAGCTATTGCTGGTCGAGTAGGCTCCTGGACGTATCCGGAACATGATCTTGCTCCCATGGTGTTCTCAAAATGCATACCTTGGGCTTCCACAACCGCCGGGGCACGACAAGCTCAGGCATGTGGAGCTTGGAACCAAATATGCGGCTAAGAGGACCCACATGTGTCCACCTGTAGGACTAAATAGACGTTGAGCCCGAGTGCAGAGATTATCTCTGCCAACGACATTCACAGAACCAATGTTCGCATCCTTCCATGAATGAGTCTGCGTTGGATATGAGGCCTGACGCTGAACGGCGAGAGATGATGTGTGATTGATCTGCCAGCATTCTTGTAGCAAGCTGTCCTCGAGTACCATGCGTGCCACGTTTATCTGTACCGCATGTGCCGTAAACATTGCCAAGATGCATATCGGAGTTTAGATGCGATGATTGGCGCGCAAATGCAGAGAGTGGCTGGGTGCAGCAATCCCTGCCATCTGTTTGGAGAATGGCGTCATGATCCTACTCCAAAAGTCGAACACGGCTCGCAAATTGGACATGTTCCTGTTACTTTGGGCAAGAACCTTGGAACAAGAAGAGACAAGCTCATCGGTAAAGCCAGGACATGTTCACGGCCCACTTGGAGCACGCTAGATTAGACGCCTTCAGAGCTTTCTGCGCGGGTCGCGTTGGCAATGGCAGCGGCGCACGTCTTGAGGTCATCCCGTTCCTGCTATCGTGAAAGTAATCATTACCGAGATGGGCTGAAGCAGTAAGCACACCTTCCCAAAGCATCACGTCCAACAGCCACTGCCTGATTGCAATTGACAAGAAGCAGACATGTCTCGGCTTCCTGGCTCCCTGTCCCTCTCTTCCCCTACGCCCACTTTTGTCACTTTTGGCTCTATCTTTCCCCAGCGGTCTAGCTGTATGCATGTCGTTCGTTTTTCACGCTCGAATCATAGTACAGCAGCCGGCAAGCGATCCGTCTTAGCTGCTCCTCCGCGGCCAAGGTCCACTGCAACTAGTCTTGGTGCATAACATTGCGATACCAACACGAGCAAATAACCGAAGGATTATAAGGCTTGCCAGCAGTCGCTGCAATCGCCCGAAGATCTTCAAGTCTCTCGTTTTACGGTCGTTGTTGTAACACTCGTTTGTTGAAATGCCTTCGGTACGTCTCATGTCTCTCGAGCATAAAACCCATGTTCCCTGCACCTGCAACAACGCTAAAGTCATCTTCCTAGTTCACTCGCGCGGTCGCGCTGCTCCCCGCGCTCTTTTCAACGATTGCGTATGCCGTCCATCCAGTGGAAGTCCGCGGACAGGACTTTGTCGACACCGTCACGAACAAGCGATTGATGATTGTTGGTGTTGACTACCAACCTGGAGGTCAAGGAGCGTACCAGCCCTCGAACAGCGAGGACGCTCTCACAAATGCCGATGTCTGTCTGCGAGATGCTACGCTTCTGCAGAAGCTGGGTGTGAACACGATCCGTGTCTACAATCTTGACCCCTCGCTTGACCACTCAAAATGCGCCTCAATCTTCAATGCCGCCGGCATCTACATGATTCTTGATGTCAACTCGCCCTTGCCAGGAGAAAGCATCAACCGCGAGGCACCATGGACTTCCTACAACAGCGATTATCTTACCCGTGCGTTTGGTATCGTCGAGAACTTCAAGGGCTTCCCTAACACCCTGGGTTTCTTCTCTGCAAACGAGGTCATGAACGACCTCTCCACTGCGGAGTTTAACCCACAGTACATCCGGGTACGTTTGGACGACTAGCTACCTTCACCAGTCCTCCAGGCTAACGAAAACACAGGCTGTTCAGCGTGACATGAAGAACTACATCAAGAACCACGCCGACCGCACCATCCCAGTCGGCTACTCTGCTGCAGACGTCCGCGAGATCTTGCAAGACACCTGGGCGTACATGCAGTGTGTACACGAAGAGGATGCATCGTCCTCTGACTTCTTTGGTCTCAACTCCTACAGCTGGTGCAATGGCGACAACTACCAGACTTCCGGCTACGATAGCTTGGTCGCCATGTTCAACAGTTCTGCCATTCCTGTCTTCTACAGTGAATATGGCTGCAATCGCGTTACTCCCCGTGACTTCGACGAGGTTCAAGCACTTTACGGAGACCAGATGCGAGCACTCTCTGGCGGCCTCGTATACGAGTACTCCCAAGAGGAAGCGAACTACGGTCTAGTCGATATTGACCAAGACGGCTCTGTCAAGCTTCTCAAGGACTATGACAACCTCCAAAACCAATTCAACCAGCTTAACGTCAGCTCTCTTGAGCAAGCCAATCCTCAGTCCACCGAAATCCAAGCCCCCGAGTGCGAAGCGAGCCTCCTATCCGCGCAAGATTTTAGCAAAAACTTCACGATCCCGGCCGTCTGCCCTGGGTGCCAGGACCTCATTAACAATGGTATCGAGAACCCACACAAGGGCGCACTGGTGGACATTGGCGACCGAGACGTCAAGCAGGCTGTCTATGGCAGCAACGGTCAGCAAATCAATGATTTGTCGCTCAATGTTGTATCGGACGATGGGTCTAACACACCTAGCGGCGAGAACACGAGCCCTAGTGGCACTCCAAGCTCCAGCGGCGGCAACCCGAGCCAAACCGGGGACGCTGCACAGCCCTCGGAGACGAAAGGAGCAGCCTCGCAAATTGGTTCCAGCTGTACCGCAGCTCTGATCGCTGTTTTCGTATGTGCACTCTTCTTGTAGTGTCCACACATGTGTATGGTCGGGCTAGATGCGCTCGAATTTGGAGTTTACGACGGATTTGGAGTGGACGATGTCTTATAGATCCACTTCCATTCTGGGAGTTTTTATTTGCGATTTTATGAAGTACGAGTTTGAATGACTGGAGGAACTAATGACGCTGTTATTCTTGTACAAAGTTAGGATGAATATACCCTTTATACACTGCCAACTGTGAAGGTCTCCTCCAGCTGTGCTTCGCAATACGTGCCCTGGTGGTGTCGGCTGGTTCGCGTTCAT